CGCGCGCGCGCGCGCGCGCGCGCATGTATATATATTTATTGTATTACATACGCAAACGAATGAAAAGCGGCTCCGGTAAAAGAAAATTCTTGTAGAAGCTTGAACACATCTATGCTCAATTTACAGACTAGACTATGAATATACTATAGGAGTATAGTATACTATGATATAGATAACGCGTTTGAATATATTCATTATAGAGGTTATAAACGACGGCGAGTGTAATGCATAACCAAACAATGGTCACGTCAGATGTCCGTAGAGACACACATATAGATCAACCACAATATTTCTATCACCTGTTATTCTTTAGAAAAAATCATACATTACAACCACAATATTTCTATCCCCTGATATTCTTAAAAAACAACAACATTAAATTCGGTATAGACGTCGCGAGTGAAGGCTATTAAACATAGGACACTCTACCATATATACAATTAAATTATATCAGGGATTAATGATGACAAATTTCAATAAAATTTTAAATTTTAATAATGATAATTTGTCATTATTAACTCCTGATTATATACATATTATATTACAAATATTATACCATATTATATTACAATTTATGGTGCGTTACAGCGTGTGTGCGTGCGTGCGTGTGTGTGTTAGTGATGGACTTTACTGACTACGTTAATGCCAGCTACTGGCTGCATGGTGATATCCGAGCTGACGATGACGTGATAATGCTATAGCAAGCTTTTCATAATGTAGCAGATCTCCTGCAATCCGTGTCTGCGTGTACATACTCTACGGCCCCGTTATACCCTAATCAACCCTTCCTATACGAGATTCGTGGCAATCCGTAAAGTAAACTCTGCACGCCCGTAACTGGCTCTGATCCGGCCAAATTACCGCCGACTGTCGCCGGATTCGGATTGCAGGATTGCGACCGTCTTTGCTGCTAATGCGATCCGTCGATCCCGTATTTAATGGTAATGAGTCAACATCGGATCGGTGTGACTATCTCTCTATATAGAGTCAAGCGTGTGCGCGTATACCGCCCCACTGACCATGTGTGGAATTTCTTTGTCGCTACATACATCGTATTTTCCTCGTCTCTCTATTAGAGGATGTAAGAGAGAGGCGAAAGAAGAGAGACAAATATATATATATATATAAATGTGTGTGTGTGTGTGTGTGTGTGTGTGTGTGTGTGTGTGTGTGTGTGTGTGTGTGTGTGCGTAGTGTGCGCGCCGCGCGTGTGTGTGTAGTGTGTGATGTGGTGTGCTTTGTGTGTCTGGGTGTGTGTGTGTGTGTGTGTGTGTGTGTGTGTGCGTACATGCGTGCGTGCGTGCGTGTGTCTGTCTGTGTGTGTGTGGGTGTGTGTGTGTGTGTGTGTGTTTGTGTGTGTGCGTGCGTGCGTGCGTGCGTGTGTATTTGCGTCTAATGTGTATGTGTGTGTGTGTGCGTAGCAGTAGCATTTACCCAGAGGTAAATATAAAAATGTAAAAAAAGAACTTATAACGAACATGGAACAGACAGTGCAAGCAGCATATAAATATTCGGATAAACACCCCCACGTTAAACTCGCGAGCGAGATAGCAATATATTACTTACATACGCTCGCATAGAAATATCAACAATCAAGATCATTCGTTTTCACGAATGCTATTCGGCGGAAAACGCGCGACGCTTGTACTCTTGCTTATACTGCATGAAAGGCTCGAAGAGCTACCGGCGATTTGTCATGCAGCAGCAGCAGCAGCAGTACATCATGAGAACGCGGCAATCTGTTATCGCAGCAACACCACACGCCCCTGAGCTTCTCCCGCGCGCGCGCGCACCCGTACTTCCGCGAGATGATGCCTTCTCTCTATTCTAAGTAGAGCAAAAATAAATCTAACATTGCGCGCCGTTATTAGCGTAGCACCCGGCGGCCATTCGCACTTAATCTACTCGCTGCTCGCGCCGTCAGTATCGCCGTCGTGTGTCCGTCGTGTGTGTGTGTACATCACTGAACAGCGGCGCTCCGTGATTAGCACGAGTCTGATTTCTGTCGTTCGTCGTCTGAAAGGTGACGATTTCGCGCGTAATCTTGTCAGATAAAGAGCGCGTCGTTTTAATCAGAGAGCCGCTGCAGGCGTTGTCGTGCTGGCTGAGGTGCGAGAGATGCGTCAGTATTGTCTGGCTGCAAACATACTCCCGTGAAAGAAATTGACGAGATCTGATATCCGCATTGAATAGCATGATAGATTCCACCTCGAACATTCGTGCAATGACATATTGTCTGGCTAGCTTTCACAGTAAGTCGGATCGTCTCTCATGAGCAGTAACACCTGAGCGGGTACCATACGTCCTGACGCAGAAAACTATTAGACTTCGAAAGGTAGATGGTTTTAATGATGTCATAGTGTTGAATTTGCGTTTCAGTTCTTTCCAGAATATTATCAGTTTTTAGCACATTGTCAGGTGTTAATTAAACATTTATTATGTATTAATATACATCACTCACAGTATTATAACTCACAGTAAATAACTCACAGTATTATATATGTGTCAATTATTGTTTTAACATATCCGTATCGAAACCATTGCCCTTAGGGCTAGTTCTTAATTAAACAATTCACATTCAAAATAGGTTTATGTCTACTAATCGTTTGTCTTGCTATGATAAATATTTAGGTGTAAATTGTGATTATATTCATAAAATTTATTTATTTATTTATGTTTCTTTACTGAAATGAATATTGTAATAAAAAGATAAAATCGGTATTTAAGATTTACATTAAGGTAATGAGATTGTCAATGAAACGGAAAGCAACATAGATTTAAAGAAAACTCCGAGTACAATAAAAGATATGCTCGTGTATAAATTCTGCTGTGTGCCTTTAGTGTAAATATGAGGAACATCGACAATGGTTGATTGAACTAATTGTTGTAATACTAGTTTTTCATTAGCCATAGCTTTAATTAAACCCGTTCAGTTTTTCTCTATTTTCTATTTCAATATTGATCAAGACTGAATGGTCGAAAATGCTGTTATTTTTATCGTATTAAAACGCGCAGTTCATGAAACATTTCTTTGATTTGGCATTTGGGAAATTTTTTTAATAGATTAGGCATAAATTATTATGTGTGATAAAGATAAAATCCATGATAAAATAATAGTATATCATTTATGCATAATACAACTATTCATATACTATAATATAGAAATAAATAGACATGAACAACAAGTAGAGTTCTTACCTCTACGCGTTCCTCCTTGAGGTCGACCTTGGCTGCAAGCTCCTCGCGTAACAGTACATCCGGGTAGTGCGTCTTGTCGAACGTCGCTTCTAAAGTCTCCAGCTGCTCCTCTGTGAAGATGGTGCGATGACGTCGTTTCCGCTTGCTCGTCCTCCCCGTCGGATCGTGGGACAGGCTGTAGCTGGGGAACTGTCCGTACGCTGTAATAACAATGTTGGACAACGTGAGGGTTAGAGCACAAGAACATGGTTACATTGATGTGCGCGTGAGGTGCGGGAAATAGTGGACGTGTATAGGTAACCCCGACATGAGGCGTTAATCATAGGCGGGCTAAGCTACATAGCCTCTCTGTGATTGTAGACGAAGGGAATTCTTTGGCACATATTACCTTTGAGCATGGCTCAATGAGTATAGACACCAAATAATATGCACCATATCCATGTTAGTGTGAATGTCAGCACGAAATATAAGCTTAACGTTAACATAAAATTAAGGATAGATGTAAAATCATTATAAGGTACGAAAACTATCCGGTTAATTAACATCACATTAAAATGACTTCGATTCAAATAATTAATTTTATTGTAGTTTCTATTCAATTGCATTGGCACAGCGGCAAAATATTTTTTACATTAATTTAATAATCCTTATAGATCGAATTAACATTTTAGCATTAACAGAAATTCGTGGTTATGCGACTGCATGAAAATATGTGATATTATCTGTGGTCAGATAACCGTCCGCATAATATTCATATGCTCGTGAATAATGGATGTCACACACACGCACACGCGCGCGCGCACCCACACACACGCGCGCGCGCACCCACACACACTGTGCACACACACACACACACGACACACACACGTACACGACACGACACACGACACACACACACACACACACACACACACACACACACACACACACACGACACGCGCGCGACACACACACACACACACACACACACACACACACGCGCGCACACGCACACGCTCACGCTCACGCACGCACGCACGCACGCACGCACGCACGCACGCGCACGCACGCACGCACACACACACACACACACACACACACCACACACACACACATTGCAACTGTGCACCTATTATTAGAACAATTCAACTATATAGATTAGAGGTATAGTAAGAGAGAGAGAGAGGCGGAGAGAGAGTGACAGCGGAGGAGAAAATGAGAGTACGAGAATGCATGTTGTAGACAAGTACATAGTATCTCGTTACAATACTAACATATTAACTCACCACTGAAGAAGTCCGCCGGATGTCGAGCGAAGGGGCTGAGATGTCCGGGGGAGACTGGCGCGTGGATCGAGTACGGACTCGGGTGGTGCGGTGCGTGCGGCAGCATGGGTCTCGGCGCTAGAATGCTGTCGATCGTAAACATCGAGTGCGGATTCGAGATGGCCGAGTAGTACTGCTTCAGACTATCGGCCGACGGAAAGTACGAGTACTGCAGCGACTGTAGCGACGGCAGGAACGCTGGCGGAAGCGTCGGCGCGCTCATCATGTCTTTGACGACTACGTGAAATAACTGACGACCGACGACGTGAAATAACTGACGACCGACGACGTGAAATAACTGACGACCGACGACGTGAAATAACTGACGACAGACGACGACGGTGAAATATGCGGTGACGACGACTATGACGACGATGACGATGAACGGTAAGCTACTCAACCGACGACAAGCGACAGGAGAGATATGCGACGACGCCTGACGACGACGCCTGACGACGGCGATGACGACGACTGAGCGGCGAGGTGTAGTCGCGTACCTATTTAACGCTGCAGATGAACGACGACTTACGCGCGCGTGCCGTGCCGACGTCACGACGTGAATGCCGACCACGAATCGTCTGCGCACAACACACACTCTCGTCTGCTCGTTGCTAACTCGCGCGTCTATCTCACTCCCCGCACCAATGATAGGTGTCGGTCTCTATCGCCCCTCCACTTCTTTGTCGTGTAATGAAATTAGCCACAACCCACCCATTAGTATAGAGATGCTAATCTTCGTTTGTGCGCACACTAATTAGCAATGTAAGCGCTGGTCGGATCGTCTTAATAACCTTTTCACACTCGCGCTAAGCGCCGCTGAAAAGCCGTCACGGCCAATCAGAGAGCACGTACGCCATAAGGGCACCTCCCCAAACATTAGCTGAGAGCTGCTGCGCTGACAATACCCGTGCCCCGGCTGTGTTTGTCCCCGCATTTGCTCATTTGGACCACTTCAGTAGAGTCGACACAATGCACTAATGCATCAGCTTGGGAAATCGGGCAGTTGATCTCTGCTGTGGAACCCTTTCACTGGAACAGAGCGGTTGCTTGGTTGACACTTGCCCCCTCTCGATGCTTTGCGGCTCCAAGGATGCTCGTCCGAGTGGCAGATTCGTTAAACTTGCATCTGTACGCTCTCCGTTCGTCGCGAGTGAGGCTGTTGAAGAGAGGAAGAGAGCACGCAGGTGTGAGCTATACATAGCACAGCGAACCGCGCACGTGCACTGCTCATACATTGACCCCCGAAAATCTTCTATTAGTAAAGGATACAGATGGTATTATGTGAAGTAGGTGGTAAAGATGTATACCATAAATACTGCCTGTTCTATAATTGTATAATTAGTTCAAAAACATGACCCGCGTGAACACCCTCTTCCCTTCACCCCCCCCCCCTTCTCTATCGCCCCGTTCGTGTTTCTCTCTGTGTATGTCGCGCTCTCTCCCCCGTCTCACACACACCGCCTCTATTTTCTATCTCGCTCTCTCTCTCTCTCTCTCTCTCTCTGTGTTTCTTTTTTTTCTTTATCTCTCTCTATTATCTATACTATACTATATATTACTCTCTATTATGTATCTATCTATATCTATTTCCATCTCTGTCTGAATCATCTTTTACCCTCCGCCCATCATTTCCTCTCGCTCTGAAGATCATTTAGAAATCGATTGTTAGTTGTTAGCTTACGGCTATGTTCGTTTTCTTACCGTCTTTTCACGCTTTCACAAACTACATTAAAACGAAGCCATTTATTGAACTACGACGTCAATATGAATATGGTTAAAGCCGCAAGAGACAGTAGTGTATATTAACGCGGCAGGATTTATAACGCGAATTTCACATATAGCAATCTTTCAAAAATCAAATTCAACAAATTTACGGCGAATTATCAAAGGAACAATTGTATTGTGACGCACCCAGCTATTTATTATTATTATTATTTTATCATTATTATTGTGGATCTCAAAGCGTAATGTATTATATGACGGAGATTAATTTATATTAATAAATGCTTACTATGATTTTACCCATAGCGCGTATGATATTTCTTTATTATATAGCTTCGCCGTTTTTCAACGATATAGTTTATAATGCTTCTCGATCGGATATGCATAGGCTTTGAACATGCGCGAACATATATCGCACAAATCTGCGGTCCATTATTTCACGTAGCCGGAAAAGATTCAATTCTCCCTGCGGAACGGTAGTTTAATATCACGGCACGCGGCCGTTTATACGCCCGCCGTGCATGTATTAACATCAGCTCGCACACACACAGCAACGATGCACGGTGCGGATAGCCGCAAGGCTAATCATCGCCGTCTGTCTTTGCACGCAGAACAAAACGCGTTCACAGATCTAGCGGATAGTCGTTAACGCGATCTCTGTATTAGAGCATTATACCAGATTCTCTCTCTGGAGGAGGAGGGCTGGTCACGGTTGTACTCGACGGGTTGTTCACACGTGCGCGCGAGGCAATCCCCTCTACTCGCCACGATAACTCCAACTCGCTGCCTGCATACGTACGTAGGCCTACATATCTACGTCTTGTAGCCGGTAGCCGCGATGACACCGCTGTTGTTTGATAGAGATGCTTGCTTGCAGCTGCCAAGTACCTCATTCGGGTTGTTCGCACATCATTTAGGCACTCAAAGCAAATCGCCGTGCAAGTTGCTAATGACTGCGGCCTATTAGGTTACTGTTTGTATCGGTGCGTCAACGGGTTGGCTCTATCGCGGATAAGAACTTGTCTATTAAGGATGTTCATACAGTTTGCGTGGATGACTTGGCATGCTCCAACTATGGTTATTTGCTACATCATATCTTCAGACCGTCAAAAGCTATGATAATACAATATATATTTATAATATTCTAACAGTATAGTTTACATTTAACTTCTGTATTTTCATTGAGTGTTATTCTCGACGAGAAATATATTGGACACCAAGACACGTTTACTAGTGATTGTGATGTTTGATCATGTTTCATAACATAACATCAGGAGTGAATAAAAATATATTATTATTAATAATATAAATAGATAATAGATAAATTAATAGATAATAGATCTATTATTATTCACTCCTGATAACATCTGTAAGGATCTAAGATCCCGATAAGTAAACCGAGCAAGAGTAATAATTATTGAACCACGTGCGGCGGGACCTACGCACGCTCGTGAGCTGCAAATCGCGCGCTCTACAGATAATCAGGAATATATCTCATTTGCATAGACTGATCTCGTAATTAGTCGCGTTGTCATGTAAATGTCCCGGTGTAAGCTAGATCGCGGCGGCGGTGGCGTAACGGCCGACCGACGGAAGCGGCAGTAACGACGACGTGAGCAGCGTGGCTCCTGGATTAACCGGCCACGTGCACCTAAACGGAATTACGCACAACTAGCACACAGGCTTACGCGACGCACCACTAGATAACATGTGCTATAGTCGCAACATTTAGTAACCACCCTCCCCCCGACCCAACGATTAGGTGGTACAAAGGAAAAGGTTATGCTCGTATTGTGTTGCTGACCGCATGAGAGACCGACCATATGATGGCGAAAATCTGCTGCTGGTATTCAAACCTAATTTCTAGTGTAAGACATCTGCTGTGCGATTATTGTAGTGTGTGTGTTGCTATCGTATCAATACTGCATCGATACACGAAGTACTATATAGAGGATAATACCAAAGTCATAGGCGTTGCCACCACACACACACACACGCGCGCGCGCACCCACGCACGCACGCACGCACGCACACACACACACACACACACACACACACACACACACACACACACATACATCTACTATCTATAATATATATATATATATTATATTATCATGATATTCTATTTATCTATATAGAGTAATATTAAACTTATGTTCGTTCAACGAAAAGCAGCACGCACGATAGAAGGCGAGAGCGCGCGCAGCGAGAGAGGTGGTCGAGAGTGGTCGAGAGGAGCGCGCAAGCGAGAGAGGGTGGGAGAGAGAGAGAGAGAGAGAGAAAGAGAGAGAGAGAAAACGATAGAGAAAGAGAGAGAGAGAAAACGACAGAGCAAGAGAGAGAGCGAGAGAGAGAGCGAGAGAGATAATAAAAGCGGGGAATTAACTTTATAAGTTAGCACGATCGCGACAAATAGTGATGGGGCAATGAAGAGTCGGTAACGGCGGTAAACCACGTACATGTACACGTTATTGATAACAAATAAATCGTGTATTATAAGCCCACGTTCGCACGCATAACAACGGCTCCCTCCCCGGTTGCAACAGCGACAACAGCGCCAAGCCGTTAAAAACAATATCAACACGCGTGTTTTGGCGGCGGTATCAAGGCGCAGGCTACCTGGCGTGTTGTTAGCGGCTACCTGGCGTGTTGTTAGCGGCTACCTGGCGTGTTGTTAGTCGGTGTTTTACCTCGCAGCGTGTGAGTCCCCCGGTGCGATCAAACACACCGAGGCGCTGCGGGCACTGAGCGACCGCATTAGCTCGCGGATCATCAGGTATTATCCGCGGCGGCCATTCTTCCCCGATGCCGCAGTCCTGGCAGCTAAAAGCCGAGCAGGCGTTCCACCTGCAGCAGATTATGCGTGCCAGCGCGTAGCTTATCCCAGCATCCCCTTCCCCCCACCGCACCGCACACACACAAAGCCGTATAGTAGCCCCGGGTTTGAACGTAGCGGCAGCGGCGTCTCCAAACGCGTACGCGGGATCTGCCCGCGCGACCCTGTATGACAACATGCGTTTTAATTTTGCGCTGATGCGCGTCCAATCCGGATCCTGAACGCGGCCGGACTGAAATACGGTGGAGTGTAGTGTAGCGCATCGTAGCAGCAGCAGAAGCAACAGCAGTAGCAGTAGTAGCGTTCATTGATCACGAGACGGCGCCTTGTTTAATGCCATTATAAATGTAATAATTCCGTTTGAAAGCCTCGTAATATACGTCCGCTAAGTGCCCCCTCTGCGCTCCGCCGCCCGACCACTTAAAGAATTAATCTCGACTTTTCTCTCGGAGATCATTGTTGGCTAAAACCGGCTATCTACCGATTTGCGCTCGCAGTCGACGAGTGGCGCTGACAGTGAGGCGGACTTACGACTTTTGAATATCGGCGCCTGCCACTTCTGCTCGGCGGAACCCTTTGCGCTGCATCCAGTACTCTCGCTCACAAACGCTACCTATCGCGGTTCAATGACAGCTAGAAAGCATGCGATCGCGCGAGTCTTCAATCTGTAAGCTTTCCTTATTCCCGTTGATGTAGTTGGTAAGATCGGAGGTATAGGACTGTCGGCGGGGAAGTTAGGCTTCTTTACGACGACCTTTACAAGCGGGAGGCTGTCGTGCGGCATGGGAGAGGGGGGTAGATGAAAGCCAGGCTGCTAGGATCGGTACGTCGGCACACACACGCGGCGCACATCGACACGCGTCACGTACAAAGGCAACAAACGAAACGCACTCTGAGAAATCTCCAACGCGGGATCAAGCGTTATATGTGACGTTATATGTCGTGCACCGCCGCCGCTGCTAGGCTTATTCTACATATTGTTTTTTTATTATATCATGTTACATGGCATGATTTAAATTATATATATTTATATATATACACACATATATATATATATATATATATATATATATATATATACACTTTCATATATATAT